GGGGACAAAAGAGATTGTAAAAATTATAGAGGAATTAGTTTACCGACTATACCAGGAAAAGTGTACGGTAGGGTAATTATTGAAAGAATTAGAGGTAAGATAGAATGTAGGACTGCGGAATGGGTAGGGAATGTGTAGATCAAGTGTTTACATTGAAGCATATATGTGAACAGTATTTAGATAAAGGTAGGGAAGTTTTCATTGCAATTATGGATTTAGAAAAGGCATATGATAGAGTCGATAGGGGATCAATGTGGCAGATGTTGCATGTACATGTATATGGAATAGGTAGTAAGTTACTAAATGCTGTAAAGAGATTTTATGAGTATAGAGAGGCTCAGGTTAGGGTGTGTAGAAGAGAGGGAGACTACTTCCTGGTAAAGGTGGGTCTTATACGGTGATGTGTAATGTCACCATGGTTGTTTAATACATTTATAGATGGGGTTGTAAAAGAAGTAAATGCTAGGGTGTTCAGGAGAGGGGTGAGATTAAATTATGGGGAATCAAATACAAAATGGGAATTGACACAGTTGCTTTTTGCTGATGATACTGTGCTGATGGGAGATTCTAAAGAAAAATTGCAAAGGTTAGTGGACGAGTTTGGGAGAGTGTTTAAAGGTAGAAAGTTGAAAGTGAACATAGAAAAGAGTAAAGTGATGAGGGTATCAAGTGATTTAGATAAAGAAAAATTGGATATCAAATTGGAGAGGAGGAGTATGGAAGAAGTGAATGTTTTCAGATATTTGGGAGTTGATGTGTCAGCAGAATTAATGAAGGAAAAAAGGTGAGTGGTGCATTGAGGTATGTGTGGAGACAAAAAGCATTATCTATGGAGGCAAAGAAGGGAATGTATGAAAGTATAGTGGTACCAACACTTTCATATGGGTCTGAAGCTTGGGTTGTAAATGCTGCAGCGAGGAGACGGTTGGAGGCATTGGAGATGTCTTGTCTAAGGGCAATGTGTGGTGTAAATATTATGCAGAAAATTCGGAGTGTGGAAATTAGGAGAAGGTGCGGAGTTAATAAAAGTATTAGTCAGAGGGCTGAAGAGGGGTTGTTGAGGTGGTTTGGTCATTTAGAGAGAATGGATCAAAGTAGAATGACATGGAGTGTATAAATCTGTAGGGGAAGGAAGGCGGGATAGGGGTCGTCTTCAAAAAGGTTGGAGGGAAGGGTTAAAGGGGGTTTTGTGGGCGAGGGGTTTGGACTTCCAGCAAGCGTGCATGAGCGTGTTAGATAGGAGTGAATGGAGATGAATGGTATTTGGGACCTGACGAGCTGTTGGAGTGTGAGCAGGGTAATATTTAGTGAAGGGATTCAGGGAAACCGATTATTTTTATATAGCCAGACTTGAGTCCTGGGAATGGGAAGTACAATGCCTGCACTTTAAAGGAGGGATTTGGGATATTGGCAGTTTGGAGGAATATGTTTTATATCTTTATACGTACATGTATATGCTTCTAAACTGTTGTATTCTGAGTACCTCTGCAAAAAGAGTATTTATGTGTGAGTGAGGTGAAAGTGTTGAATGATGATGAAAGTATTTTCTTTTTGGGGATTTTCTTTCTTTTTGGGTCACCCTGCTTTGGTGGGAGATGGCCGACTTGTTAAAAAAAAAAAATTCATTACATAGAATGAAAGGGGGGTAAAGCAGCTGGAACTGATGGGATCATGACAGAAATGTTAAAAGCAAGGGGAAGGGGGTAATGTGATGGAGTGGTTGGCATTTTTGTTTAATAAATGTGTGAAAGAGAGGAAGGTACCTAGGGATTGGCAGAATGTGTGTAGAGTTCCTTCCTATAAAGGAGACAAAAGAGACTGGAAAAATTATTGGGGAATAAGTTTACTAAGTATACCAGGTAAAGTGTATGGTAGGGTTATTTTCAAAAGAATTAGAGGTAAGACAGGCAGCAGGACTGCAGTTGAGCAAGGAGGCTTTTAGAATGGGTAGGGGATGTGTAGAAATGTTTACATTTGAGCATATATGTGAACAGTATTTAGATAAAGGTAGGAGAGAGGGAGATTAATTCCCAGTACAAGTAGATCTTATACAGGAATGTGTAATGTCACAATGGTTGTTTAACATATTTATAGATGGGGTTGAAAAAGAGGTAAATGCTAGGGTGTTGGGAAGAGGGGTGGGATTTAAATTACGGGGAATCAATACAAAACGAAAGTTGACACAGTTGATTTTTTGCTGATGATACTGTGCTTTTGGCGGATTCTAAAGATAAGTTGCAAAGCTTAGTGGACAAGTTTGGGAGGGCATGTAAAGGTAGAAAGTTGAAAGTGAACACAGATAAGAGTAAGGTGATGAGGTTATCAAACAATTTAGATAAAGAAAACTGGATATCACACTTGAGGGAGGGAGTATGGAAGAAGTGAATCTTTTCAGATATTTGGGAGTTGACTTGTCAGCGGATATATTTACGAAGGATGAGGTTAATGGTAGAACTGATGAAGGAAAAAAGGTGAGTGGTGTGTTGAGGTATCTGTGGAACAAAAAACGTTATCCATGGAGGCCAAGAAGGGAATGTATATGAGTATAGTGGTACCAACACTCTTATATGGGTGTGAAGCATGGGTTGTAAATGCTGCAGCAAGGAGGCAGCTGGAGGCAGTGGAGATGTCCTAAGGGCAATGTGTGGTGTAAATATTTTACAGACAATTTGTAGTGTGGAAATTAGGAGGGGGTGTGGAGTTACCAAAAGTATCAGCCAGAGGGCTGAAGAGGGCTTGTCAAGGTGGTTTGAACATATAGAGAGAATGAAACAAAGCAGAATGACTTGGAGAGCATATGAATCTGTAGAGGAAGGAAGGCAGAGTAGTGGTTGTCCTCGAAAAGGTTGGAGGGAAGGGGTAATGGGGTTTTTTTTGGGTGAGGGGCTTGGACTTCCAGCAAGCGTATGTGAGCGTGTTAGACAGGAGTGAATGGAGACGAATGGTTTTTGGGACCTGATGAGCTGTTGGAGTGTGAACAGGGTAATATTTTGTGAAGGGATTCAGGGGAAACTGGTTAGCCAGACTTGAGTCTTGGAAATGGGAAGTACAATGCCTGCACTTTAATGGAGGAGTTTGGGATATTGGCAGTTTGGAGGGACATCGAAGCTGTCTTATATGAGTGCCTCTGCAAAGACAGTGATTATGTATGAGTGATGGTGAATGTGTTGAATGATGATGAAAGTTTTTTCTTTCTTTTTGGGTCACCCTGCCACAGTGGGAAATGGCTGACATGTTAAAAAAAATCTAAATAAATGAAAAAGAAGCCTATGCTGGATATGTACCTGCACAAGTTCAGGAGTGCTGTAGAATGCTCAGCTTGTATGGCATATCGATTTATTATCCAGTGATGAGTAATTTGATGAAAGAATCATAAAAACAATACCCTCTCCTCTTCCTCTTGCTATCTTTCTTCTCCTTTTTCATCCCCACACAGCCCTCCTACTTGCATCATAAAGAGTTGCCATTTACCAAGTGGATTGGGAACCAGGCCTCAGTTAATAGGACTAAAAGCTCCACTGAGGAGTGATTCACCATATAAAGAAGACCCACATTGAGCCAATATGTGAATAACCCAATAATTTTGGGGAATCAAATTCAAAATGGGAATTGACACAGTTACTTTTTGCTGATGATACTGTGCTTATGGGAGATTCTAAAGAAAAATTGCAAAGGTTAGTGGATGAGTTTGGGAATGTGTGTAAAGGTAGAAAGTTGAAAGTGAACAGAGAAAAGAGTAAGGTGATGAGGGTGTCAAATGATTTAGATAAAGAAAAATTGGATATCAAATTGGGGAGGAGGAGTATGGAAGAAGTGAATGTTTTCAGATACTTGGGAGTTGACGTGTCGGCGGATGGATTTATGAAGGATGAGGTTAATCATAGAATTGATGAGGGAAAAAAGGTGAGTGGTGCGTTGAGGTATATGTGGAGTCAAAAAACATTATCTATGGAGACAAAGAAGGGAATGTATGAAAGTATAGTAGTACCAACACTCTTATATGGGTGTGAAGCTTGGGTGGTAAATGCAGCAGCGAGGAGACGGTTGGAGGCAGTGGAGATGTCCTGTTTAAGGGCAATGTGTGGTGTAAATATTATGCAGAAAATTTGGAGTGTGGAAATTAGGAAAAGGTGTGGAGTTAATAAAAGTATTAGTCAGGGGGCAGAAGAGGAGTTGTTGAGGTGGTTTGTGGTTTGGTCATTTAGAGAGAATGGATCAAAGTAGAATGACATGGAAAGCATATAAATCTATAGGGGAAGGAAGGCGGGGTAGGGGTCGTCCTCGAAAGGGTTGGAGAGAGGGGGTAAAGGAGGTTTTGTGGGTGAGGGGCTTGGACTTCCAGCAAGCGTGCGTGAGCATGTTAGATAGGAGTGAATGGAGACGAATGGTACTTGGGACCTGACGATCTGTTGGAGTGTGAGCAGGGTAATATTTAGTGAAGGGATTCAGGGAAACCGGTTATTTTCATATAGTTGGACTTGAGTCCTGGAAATGGGAAGTACAATGCCTGCACTTTAAAGGAGGGGTTTGGGATATTGGCAGTTTGGAGGGATATGTTGTGTATCTTTATATGTGTATGCTTCTAAACTGTTGTATTCTGGGCACCTCTGCAAAAGCAGTGATAATGTGCGAGTGTGGTGAAAGTGTTGAATGATGATGAAAGTATTTTCTTTTTGGGGATTTTCTTTCTTTTTTTTGGGTCACCCTGCCTCGGTGGGAGACGGCCGACTTGTTGAAAAAAAAAAAAAAAAATATATATATATATATATATATATATATATATATATATATATATATATATATAATATTATATATATATATATATATATATATATATATATATATATATAAATATAAATATAATATAAACTACCAATGACTACCATGATTTATCAAAAGTATAATACAGTATTTTAACCTGAGTTTCTTTGACTTGCATATTTCAATTACAGTTATTCTTTTAAATTTTATGAACACCTTAATTAAAACCAAACATCTCACCTCTTCTTTGCTTTCAGCATCATTCCAGGATGGGATTTATGTGCTCTCAAAATGTTGGAGAGATCAGCTTCATATCGAGAAAAATTTCCTGCTGTTGCAGTGGGACAATTATCATACAAGTTGTACATGTTGAGACCCTCATTATAGATAATGTCCGATGCTTTACTAACCTGCCAACACATGTTTTATTGATTATTACCTTTTATGGCTAGAATAATTAAATACTTAATACTGTTCATACTAAAGTATGAACATAAATATACAGATGAAAAGTAATGGTGAGATATCAAGAAATAAAGATTTCTACCACAAGACAAGTTTTTTTAAATTATGCAAAATTAAATTATGCACATGTCTTAATATTTCAAGTTTGAAATAAATTCATTAAATCTTTTTAGTTTATCTGATAAAACTAATAGTTACCCTTACCAAGAATACCTTGAATAAACTAAGTCTATAAACCAGTATTTTAATGCAAACAGTTTATAAGTGTTTTCACTTACAGCTTGAGTACACAAAGGCCAGTATGTCTTATAGAAGTTGCATGCATCTTTTGAAGGACGTCCTCCCTTGCAGCAATGTGTCACAAGGCGCATCCACAAACTAAAAAACAAAAAAAAAATACATACACACTTCTTACTGCTCTAAATTTACCTATAAATTCAAAACTGAATACTGTTCACCACCCATGCCCTTCTCAAAATAGCACAAAATAAGGCCTTTTATGATTAAATCATTACAGTACTCTTAGAGGAGAATCTTTTCATAAGCAACAGCAAACAGAGTATATCAGTTTATGCTCTGTCTCTAACCCCTGCACTAACACCATGTAAAAGAAAAAAAAATACTTACTCATCACCAAAGAGACCATGGTAGTATCCGAAGAAGATGATGGAATCATCGTTGAGCTTATAACTGGATAGCCCATTGCCAATAGCATACCCTTGAAGATTTATGCTGAAATCTTCTTGACCCTGTAGTACCCGTACAGCCAGAGTTGGTACGTACACACCAGCATAAGATTCTCCAGTGATGAAGAATTCATTCTTGCGATACTCGGGAAACTTTTCATAGTACAGAAATTCAAATAAATATTTAAAAGGTTAAAACATCTTTTGTATACAAACCTGTACAAATTACTATATAACCATTTCAAGCAGTTTATTGCTTTTCAAAATAGTTTTGCACTCAACATTGGTAAAGCAGCTCATATGTTGTCCCCCATTATCGCAACACTATTTAACAATTCTGTTACCCCGATCCTCAAAGGAGGTGATCCTACAGAACTAAATAACTACAGACCAATATCTAACTTGCCTCTGCTATCTAAAATCTTCAAAAAAATAATACATAAACAAATCTACTCCTACCTCCTATCCCATAATATACTGAACCCCTGCCAATTTGGGTTTAGGCTGAAAAAAAAGCATGAATGATGCAATTATTCAGATGCTTGAATTACTATACACAGTAACTGAAAAAAATTAATATCCTACGGAAAGCATTTGATATGGTAAACCACAATATCTGGCACCCAAAACTAAAGCATTATGGGGTCAGAGGACACTCTCTCAATTACCTAAAATCTTATCTTAGTGGTAGACAATAGTATGTGTACACAAATGGCATGACCTCCAATACTCAGCCTGTAGTTGCTGGAGTGCCACAGGGAAGTGTCCTAGGTCCTCTACTCTTTCGTATTTATATCAATGACCTCCCAAATGCATCGTGACTCCTTAAACCAGTTCTATTCGCAGATGACACCACTTACATCTTCTCCCACCCAAACCTGGCTATACTTAGTGAGGCGGCCTTCTGCCAAACTAGCAGTTAGATTGTTTACATGTAGGCCTGCAGTACCACGGGTACATCATCAAACCCAATGTTGGGACTGCTGAGCCAGCCTTAGCAGTATTCACCAGACCACCTTATGGTATACATCTACTGGTAGTAGAGAGTATTCACCTGACCATCTTACGGTGTATATCTACTGGCCTTAGAAGGAGTGTGTCTACAACAGCTCACTGAGTCTGACGGCCTCAGTTACCTGACGGCCTCATTCAGTGTACTCACATCATAGTGTGTTCTGCACTACTCACTGAGAGTAAAGACCTCATACATAGTGAGTTTAGCATGGCTTCACTGCTTGACTTTGCTGGTAACGTCTCCGGCTGACAACGAAAGTTTCCTGCTGGGAACGTGGACTTAGTTTCCTGATGGCAGTGACTGGACTTAGTTTGCTGGTGGCAACGATTGGACTTTGTTCCTGATGGCATCGAATAGCTTAGTTTCCTGTTGACTACGACTGGACAGTTTCCTGATGGCAGCGACTGGACTTAGTCGGCTGGCCCCATGACGGTGTTAATATCGGACACTGTAGGGTGTCATGTGGACACGGTGTGTTATAACGTGGAGATAAGGGTGTCGTGTAGACACAGTAGCAAAAGTGTGTAGATTTACATGGAGATAAGGGTGTCTTGTGGACACGGTAGCGAAAGTGTGTAGATTTACATGGAGACAAGGGTGTCATGTGGACACGGTAGCGAAAGTGTGTAGATGTGCACGGAGACAAGGGTGTCATGTGGACACTGTAGAGAAGGTTTGAAGATTTACACTGAGCCAAGGGTGTCATGTGGACACAGTTGAGATGGTGTGTTATAACGCTGAGAAAGGTGTCGTGTGACACTGTTACAATGGTGTCGTGTGTCATAGTTGACAAGGGTGTTTGTGATATTGTATTCAATTATGTGTCAGTTGTGACATGGGTGATATTGTAGTAATGTGATGTCAGTAATGGATAGTCATGTTTGTGATATGGTGCTTTGTAATGTGACAATTCTAGTCATGTATCTGATATTGTAATGTGATAATGAAACCAAAGAATACACTTTTATGTTGTCTTTTATAATGCTCTTATTTTATAATTTACTAGTAAAGATTAAAAATATTATGCGTATTTTTGTACTCCTGGACAAATACTCTTATTACAGTTTGGATGATGGGCTAAGAATAATATCGTAATTAACAGGCTAGTTCAAGCTTTAATCATCCAGATTGTAATATTGTAATACAGTACTTAGTAACACCGTAAGGAGTGAGCTACATAAAATTTCAAACTGGATGTCAATCAACAAACTTACTCTCAATATAGACAAAACCTACTTCATGCTTTTTAGAAATGAGAGCATTAAATATCCAGCTAAACATATTGATAAACGGTTGACCCATTATAAGACGCACTGAGGGCAAATTTCTAGGTCTCCACCTTGACTGTAATCTTAAATTTCAGACCCGCATCCAGCAATAGATATCCTTTCCAAGATATGATACTATGTGCCCCAAAGGACACTCCTTACTTTATATCACTCTCTAATACAATAGGCATCCTTTCCAAGATATGATACTATGTGCCCCAAAGGACACTCCTTACTTTATATCACTCTCTAATACAGTGGTACCCCGAGTTTCAAACTTTCTTTGTTCCAGAAGGCTCTTCAAGTGAAGTTACCGAACGAATTTGTTCCCATAAGGAATAATGTAAATTAGATTTGTCCGTTTCAGACCCCTAAAAATACACTTACCGAAGCACTTACAATAATACACTTACATAATTGGTCAAGTTGAGAACTATTCAAAACTCAGGATACCACTGTATGCCCTTACCTCATCTATGGTATTTGTGCTTGGAGATCTACCATGGCCAATCAGCTTAAACCTTTAATAACCAACAAAAGCGGCACTGCGGATGATTACGAACTCCAGCATCAGACAACACACCCCACCACTTTCACTTAATATATAAAATCTTCTTCTTTCAACAAACCAGCCATATCCCACCGAGGCAGGGTGACCCAAAAAGAAAAACAAAAGTTTCTCTTTTTAACTTTAGTAATATATACAGAAGGGGTTACTATCCCCTTGCTCCTGGCATTTTAGATGCCCCTTGTGACATGCATATACCTTCAATATACCTTTATACCTCTGAAGCTTCGAGGGTTTGACTACTCTCGGAGCCTGGCCATGGGCCAGGCTCGTCTGGTGCTTCCCTGGTCAACCAGGCTGTTGCTGCTGGAGGTCCGTTGCCCCACATATCCATCACAGCCTGGTTGATTTGGCACCTGGTGAAGATACTTATCCAGTTTCCTCTTGAAGGCTTCTACACTTGCTCCAGCCACGTTTCTGATATCTTCTGGCAAGATGTGAATAGTCTGGAACCCCAGATGTTGATACAGTGTACCCTTAATGTCCCCACCGCACCCCTGTTCCTCACTGGGTTTATTTTACACTTCCTCCCATATCTCTCACTCCAGTATGTTATGGCAGTGTGCAGATTTGGGACCAGGCCCTCGAGTACTTTCCAGGTATATATTATCATGTATCTCCCTCTCTCCTACACTCCAATGAGTACATGTTCAAGACTTGAAGGTGCTCCCAGTAATTTAGGTGTTTTACTGGCTCAATGTGAGCTGTAAATGATCTCTATATTTGTTCCAGCTCTGATATTTCTCCTGCTTTGAATGGGGCCATCAGCACTGAGCAATATTCTAAATGAAAGAGCACTAGCGATTTAAGAAGTGTCACCATCGGCATTACTGTATTTCCCTTTTTTTTGAAAGTTCTCAATACCCACCCCGTCATCTTCCTTAATGTTGTGATCTTTGTCATGTTCTTTCTTTCTTTCAACAAACTGGCCATATCCCACAGAAGCAGGATGGCCCAAAAAGTTCTCTTTTTAATTTTAGTAATGTATACAGGAGAAGGAGTTACTAGCCCCTTGCTCCCGGCATTTCAGTCGCCTCTTACGACACGCATGGCTTACAGAGGAAGAATTCTATTCCACTTCCCCATGGAGATAAGAGGAAATAAAGAAGAACAAGAACTAGTAAGAAAATAGAAGAAAACCCAGAGGGGTGTGTATATATATGCATGTACATGCATGTGTAGTGTGACCTAAGTGTAAGTAGAAGTAGCAAGACATACCTGAAATCTTGCACTTTTAAGAGATAGAAAAAAATAACACCAGTAATCCTATCATAATGTAAAACAATTACAGGCTTTCGTTTTACGTTCACTTAGCAGGACTGTAGTACCTCCCTGGGCGATCTGTCTACTAACCTACTACCTAGGAATTTACAAAATATGCACTTATTACTGTGCCTACTATATATACATAACATTAAACTCTAATGTCAACTCTTCCCTTAAACTTCTCCTAGACAGCTTCATCAGAACACACAGGCATAACATGAGGCACAAAACACTTTTTGACATCCCTCATGTCCATCTCACAATATGCAAAAATGCAATGCACATGAAGGACCTAAAGATCTGGAACTCTTTGCCTGAAACAGCAAGAAGTCCCCTGCCCACAAATCAATTTGGGACTACACTCAAAAGTCATATCTCTCAATAACAACCATACCCACACTATGCTAAACTCTAACCAAATTTAAAGCAACTCTCCCAAATATTTTATTAACTATTAGCTATTAAGTAATTATTACAAACTTAAAAATGTATGTTTGTATCATTAATTGTACTACCTCATATTAATAATAAACAATCTTAATTACAAATGTATGTTTGTACTGTATCATAAATTGTACTACCTCATAATAATAATAGAGTAAAATATTGAATATTTGTATTCTACCACTCTTCACCTGTCTAGACTTAAGTAGTCTATAAGTATTAGGCTAAGTCTGCCCAAAATGCCTTGGCATGATAGTGACTTTCTTTGTATCAATCAAATTATGAAATGTAAACACACATTGTAACCTTAGCAAAGAAATAAAATTTTATTTTAAAGCTCAAGAATTTTTGTGAGCTTTCTCTCTCTACTACTTTTTCAGATACAGCACCTTACATTATTAAAACTTGTATTAATCACTCGTTTCCATTTAATTTGTAACATATTATGTAACGCTTTTACAACTAAAAAGTTATCCAACACTAACACTGCAAAAGAAAACTTACTTTGTTTGTGAAGAAGTCTTTAAGTGCGAGATAGTTTGAGAGCGAAGTCTCATTATCTCCAGTGACACAGTCATTGTTTGAGTCATATGAGAACCCGACACAAGCAGGAGCTTCCAGGAATAACACATTAGCCACCTGACAAAACCAAAGCCATAATTAATTCTTGTATAAAACATTTCTCAACAAGAGATTTTTATGATAAAATGAGTCTGCTGAGCAAAGCTTTATACTAACATTTTTATTTATCAAGTCATCAGAATAAAGACTTTGCAAACTGGCAGCAACATATGCCAGTCAATCTATATTACCTGCAGCCATACGTATCTTATAGGTAGTAGGTTGGTAGACAGCAACCGCCCTGGGAGGTACTACCGTCCTGCCAAGTGAGTGTAAAACGAAAGCCTGTAATTGTTTTACATGATGGTAGGATTGCTGGTGTCCTTTTTTCTGTCTCATGAACATGCAAGATTTCAGGTACGTCTTGCTACTTCTACTTACACTTAGGTCACACTACACATACATGTACAAGCACATATATACACACCCCTCTGGGTTTTCTTCTATTTTCTTTCTAGTTCTTATTCTTGTTTATTTCCTCTTATCTCCATGGGGAAGTGGAACAGAATTCTTCCTCCGTAAGCCATGCGTGTTGTAAGAGGCAACTAAAATGCCGGGAGCAAGGGGCTAGTAACCTCTTCTCCTGTATATATTACTAAATGTAAAAGGAGAAACTTTCGTTTTTCCTTTTGGGCCACCCCGCCTCGGTGGGATACGGCCGGTGTGTTGAAAGAAAGAAAGATACGTATCTTAGAGAGCACATACAAATAGTATAGTAGTTTGGCATTTTCCCAGTTGGAAAATACCAAACTACTTATTTTACTTATTCCTGATTTTTTTTTTTAAAAACCCACTGTAGTGACGGAAAGTATGTTGTGGTTGAGTCCTGGTAAATCTGTTATCTCATCAGCAACAGGGGCACCAACTGCACTAACAGTCAAATAGGCTACCACAACCAAAAGCCTAAACATCTTTACCACTGTAAAGGAAATTATAAAAATGATAAGGCAACTGAACACAATACATACGGTACATTACATATTACATACGTATTTACATGCCTGTCATGAAGTCAAGCATACTATATCATGAAATGGTCTTAAATGTTAAAATCAACGAAAATAGGGAAACAAATATTAAAACTGTCAGGTCAAGGGAATTTCAACTATCACATAATGGACTTTTTAAGAATACTAGGGTCATTAAATTATCATTAGTAAGTTTATTCACATAAAATTACACCATCTTTGAACAGAATTAAGCCCAAAATATAATATGCTTAATAAACCAAAAGCATGAACCTGAATTACAATAATAAAATTAATAAAATACATGTAGTTGTAGCTACAGTGAAAGTAAAGGTAGATGAGATACAAGGAAAATAGAAGCAGCAAGTAAAAGAGAGGTGAAGGTTTATAAACTAAAAGAGGAGGGAGTTAGGGTAAAATATAAACAACTATTGGAGGATAGATGAGCTAGTGAGAGTATAGGCAATGGGGTCAAAGATGTATGGGGCAAGTTTAAAAATGTAGTGTTAGTGTTTTCAGCAGAAGTTTGTGGTTACAGGAAAGTGGGTGAAGGAAGGAAGAAGAGCAATTGGTGGAATGATAATGTAAAGAGAGTAGTAAGAGAGAAAAAGTTAGCATATGAGAGATTTTTAAAAAATAGAAGTGATGCAAGGAGGGAAGAGTATATGGAGAGAAAAAGAGAGGTTAAGAGAGTGGTGAAGCAATGTAAAAAAAGAGCAAGTGAGAGAGTGGGTGAGATGTTATCAACAAATTTTGTTGAAAATAAGAAAAAGCTTTGGAGTGAGATCAACAAGTTGAGGAAGCCTAGAGAACAAATGGATGTGTCAGTTAAAAGTAGGAGAGGAGAGTTATTAAATGGAGAGTTAGAGGTATCTGGAAGATGGAGGGAATATTTTGAGGAATTGTTAAATGTTGATGAAGATAGGGAAGCTGTGATTTCATGTATAGGGCAAGGAGGAATAACATCTTGTAGGAATGAGGAAGAGCCAGTTGTGAGTGTGGGGGAAGTTTGTGAGGCAGTGGGTAGAATGAAAGGGGGTAAGGCAGCTGGGACTGATGGGATAAAGATAGAAATGTTAAAAGCAGGTGGGGATATAGTTTTGGAGTGGTTGGTGCCATTATTTAATAAATGTATGGAAGAGGGCAAGGTACCTAGGGATTGACAGAGAGCGTGCATAGTTCCTGTGTATAAAGGCAAAGGGGACAAAAGAGAGTGCGAAAATAATAGGGGAATAAGTCTGTTGAGTATACCTGGTAAAGTGTATGGTAGAGTTGTTATTGAAAAAATTAAGAATAAGACGGAGAGTAGGATAACAGATGAACAAGGAGGGATTAGGAAAGGTAGGGGGTGTGTAGAGCAAGTGTTTACAGTGAAACATATAGGTGAACAGTATTTAGATAAGGGTAAAGAGGTTTTGGTGGCATTTATGGATTTGGAAAAGGCATATGACAGGGTGGATAGGAGGGCAATGTGGCAGGTGTATGGTATAGGAGGTAGGTTACTGATAGCAGTGAAGAGTTTTTACGAGGATAGTGAGACTCAGGTTAGAGTATGTAGGAAAGAGGGAGATTATTTCCCAGTAAAAGTAGGCCTTAGACAAGGATGTGTGATGTCACCATGCTTGTTCAATATATTTATAGATGGGGTCTTGGCAAGAGGTGTGGAGTTAAAAGATAAAGAATCAAACACAAAGTGGGAGTTGTCACAGTTGCTTTTTGCTGATGATACTGTGCTTTTGGGAGATTCTGAAGAGAAGTTGCAGAGGTTGGTGGATGAATTTGGTAGAGTATGTAAAAGAAGAAAATTAAAAGTGAATACTATAGGAAAGAGTAAGGTTATGAGGATAACAAAAAGATTAGGTGATGAAAGATTGGATATCAGACTGGAGGGAGAGTGTGTGGAGGAAGTGAATGTATTCAGATATTTGGGAGTGGATGTGTCAGCAGATGGGTCTAAGAAAGATGAGGTGAATCATAGAACTGATGAGGGGAAAAGGGTGAGCAGTGCACTTAGGAGTCTGTGGAGACAAAGAACTTTGTCCTTTGAAGCAAAGAGGGGAATGTATGAGAGTATAGTTATACCAATGCTCTTATATGGGTGTGAAGCATGGGTTATGAATGTTGCACCGAGGAGAAGGCTGGAGGCAGTGGAGATGTCATGTCTGAGGGACATGTGTGGTGTGAATATAATGCAGAGAATTCACAGTTTGGAAGTTAGGAGAAGGTGTGGGATTGCCAAAACTGTTGTCCAGAGGGCTGAGGAAGGGTTGTTAAGGTGGTTTGGACATGTAGAGAGAATGGAACGAAACAGAATGACTTCGAGAGTGTATAAATCTGTAGTGGAGGGAAGGCGGGGTAGGGGTCATAAGGGGGATTACCAACAGACCCCTGGCAGTCTTCAAGCTGGCACTGGACAAGCACCTAAAGTCAGTTCCGGATCAGCCGGGCTGTGGCTCGTATGTTGGTTTGCGTGCAGCCAGCAGCAACAGCCTGGTTGATCAGGCTCTGATCCACCAGGAGGCCTGGTCTCAGACCGGGCCGCGGGGGCGTTGACCCCCGGAACTCTCTCCAGGTAGACTCCAGGGGTCAGCCTAGGAAAGGTTGGAGGGAGGGGGGAAAGGAGGTTTTGTGTGTAAAGGACTTGGACTTCCAGCAAGCATGTGTGAGCGTATTTGATAGAAGTGAATGGAGACAAGTGGTTTTTAATACTTGATGTGCTGTTGGAGTGTGAGCAAAGTAACATTTATGAAGGGATTCAGGGAAACCGGCAGGGCGGACTTGAGTAATGGAGATGGGAAGTACAGTGTCTGCACTATGAAGGAGGGGTGTTAATGTTGCAGTTTTATAAACTGTTGTGTAAAGCACCCCTCTGGGAAGACAGTGATGGAGTGAATGATTATGAAAGTTTTTCTTTTTCGGGCCACCCTGCCTTGGAGGGAATTGGCGGTGTGTTAATAAAAAAAAAAAAAAAAAAAGTGTGAGCATTGAAGAGATAAAATATCAACCAAAGTTAACATTTATGTACAGCAGACCCCCGCTGTTCAGTGGCCATGACTTTCATGAAATTCGACTTTTGGCAAGTTTTTTCACCAAAATTTAGCTTCGTGGTTCGTGATTGGACTCATGATTCGGCAACCATCCAGTACATGTCTGCCCATCACCGCGCACACAAAGCCACTCTCCCGCACCATTCACACTTAGTGTGCCATTGTTTACCAGTGCATGACCATCACCCTGTGGGTTCATACAATACATTTCATAATAATCCATTGTTTTTTTGTGCTTGCAACTGCTAAATAAGTCACCATGGGCCCCAAGGAAAGCTAGTGCCAGCCCTTCGGTAAAGAAAGTGAGGAATACGATCAAATTCAAGAAGGAAATCATTGAAAAATATGAGAGAGGAGTGCATGTTACAGAACTTGCCAGGATGTATGGCAAACCCCATTCAATCATCACTTCGATCATGGCGAAGGGAAAGGGAATATAGTGTGCTGTTGTTGCAAAAGGGGTAGATATGCTGACAAAAAAGAGATCGTAAACCCTCGAAGAAGTGGAAAGGGTATTGTTGGTGTGGATTACCCAAAAACAGTTAGCAGGAGATAGTATTATGCAATCGATAATATGTAAAAAGGCATAATGATCTCGTGAAGAAAATGCCTGCAACAAGTGGTGATGCTTGTGATTTTAAGGCCAGCAAAGGTTGGTTTGAGAGATTTAAGAAGCTCAGTGGCATACACAGTGTGGTAAGGCATGGTGAGCCTGCCAGTTCTGACAAAAAAAAAGTGGCTGAGTAGTTTGTACAGGAGTTTAAGGAGCATGCAAACACTGGAGAATTCAAACCCCAACAAGTGTTCAATTGTGATGAAACAGGCCTCTTTTGGAAGAAAATGCCAAACAGGACCTACATCACACAGGAGGAAACAGCACTCCCAGGACACAAGCCTATGAAAGACAGGCTACCTCTCATGTTTTGTAGTAATGCTAGTGGGGATTGCAAAGTGAAGCCTTTACTGGTGTATCACTCTGAAAATCCCAGAGTGTTCAAGAAAAACAGTGTTGCCA